ACTTCTGAAAACGCTTTTGATCAGAATTTGCACATTGCCTATGTCCTCAAAAATATATTTGAATACCGATGAACAGGGAGGCGGTACAATGGTCTTCCGTCGTTTACCCATGATTGTCTACCCGGCTCTCGGTACCCAGCGTCTCGGGAAGTGATGCATAGAGAAAAGTCCAAACGTCTTGCAGCTCTGAGTCTGGGTCAGTCATCAAAGATCATCTCAAGATCAGTGCTTTCAGAAGTAAAATCAGATTGAACAAGGACAGAAACAATTCATTCGGATCCAGGTCTATCGAATGCATCAATGGATGGACAAGAAAGGGAAGAAAGACCATGGCAGATGGCACGACATCAGATGGTTGACCAAGAGATGGAATTAGAAGATACTAGTAATGATGATTATCCAAGGATCAAAAACATCAAAAAAATCTTTGATCAGTCTCCTAATAATAAGTTTGTTTCGATGGTTATTAAATTATTCTTCAATTGCTTGGTCAAATGAAACTTGGAGAATTGGGTCCGATAGGATTGATTGGGATCATCAAATCATACATGTTACTGGTGGCTCCGATGGTTTAGGTAGAGTAATTACTGAAACTTTGGCTATTAAGAATATGAGGTTTTTTTGGGATATTAGACCTCTTACTGCAAATCCATCTGACTCAGGTTAGCTTTTTTTGGTTATGGACTCACTATTATTCAAATCAAGCTTGTCATTGACTTTGGTTGTCTTTATCTCTAGATGTCCATCACTATGAGTGCGACATATCGGATGCGAAAGCTGTAGAAGCTGTAGCTGATCGAGTCAAAAACGAAGTAGGAGATCCAACAATCATTATCAATAACGTTGAAGTAGCGAATGGAACATTTATCATCGATCTTAATCCTAGTGAAATTCAGCGGTTTGCCACTTTGTCTTATAAACAATCTCATTGGAAATCATAACTGACAATCACGATGTACCTCTTAACCACTTTGTAGGAGCTTTGGAGTGAATATAATGGCTCATTTTCACCTCTTGAAGGCTTTCTTACCAACATTAATTGAACTAAAGAACGGATACATCGTCAGTACGATTTCTATTGTGAATCTTGATATCATCACTAAACTCATCGCGATCATCTGTTTCTACTTGTTCTTGTCATCTCAGGTCACTGTAGCTTCAATTTTAGGCACTTTTGGCGTCTGTCAAGCTTCAGATTACTGTACTTCAAAAGCAGCTGTTTTGAGTTTACATGAATCACTTGAACTAGATTGTAGGTTCCTAAATATCCTCATTCCCACTGTATCTTTCTTTATTGAGTGAACAGAAAGATAGTAACATGAACCAAAAAAATGAATATCAGTGTTCAGGGGTTCGTGCCACTTAAGTAAGTCCAGGTAGATTGGAAACCAAAATGTTTGGACCCTGTAAGTTTTATTATTATTTAAGACCTATCGAACTATTCAACTTCCAATCCAAAAAACTAATCAAATTTTGCTAGAACTTCTCATTAAGAAGTAAGACCACAGAACCCATTTTTATTCCCACAAGTTGTACCTCATGATCTAGCCAAACTGGACATTTGAACATTAGGTTCATAAGTTTATCTGAATCATCAAAGTGTTTCCTTCTTGGTTGAAAGATTTGGCTCATTGGTTTGCTGGCTCTACTGAGGCTGTGATCGATTTCAATAAGTGAAACCAGTCAGTTTTGGGGGATAAATAGATTGTGTGTGTTTTGTGCATACCTTTTTTTCAAAAAGTAGTATGAGGCACCACAAATGGCATTAGGTGTAGTTCCTTTATAATATTTGATTGCTTAAGAATCTAAAGAATGAAGATTCCGAGCGATTTTTCAGTGTGATTCATAAGAAAGTCGATGATGTTATGAATTTGAGGGAAATTTTGAACACAAAAGTCTAGATGAAATCTCTGATTCCCTCCTAAAAAAACTCACAAGATGTGGAAAGAGAATAGTTCATCACATCACTCATAGAGTTTAGAAGTATTGGAATAGATAGAACAGTGGGCAGTGAGAACCTTCTCTTTTATTCTTTTAATTTACACTTATTCATTTCATTGAGATAAAATCCTTTTGGAGTAAAAAATCAGTCCTACTCACCGTGTCCGGGACGTTCGCTCTTCGACGAGCGCGCACGACTTCCCTTTCTGCCTCAAAGGGAGTTGGTGTGCGCTCGTTGACTAGCAAATCCTACACAGACACGGTGTACTAAGCATCTAAAACTGACTTTGATTCACAACTCTGGGATGTTAATTGGATATGGGTCCACATCAAACGATACAAAAATGTTTTTTTGACAATTTCAAAGGTAATGAATCATTTCATTTTAGCCATCTTGTTTTTTGACAGAGTGGATATACATTTCATATCACCATATGCTGTTGAAACGAAAAGTACACTGGTTTTCGAATCGAATGTCTCTCTAATTTGATTACTAGTGGAGCTGTACAGTGTCCCTGGGTGGCCATACCCAGTATTGTATCTGGGCAGAGGCCTTCGGATCACCCGTCTGTTCATTGGTACACCTTATTGAGCAGCGTGACATGGTAAAACTTTTGTATCGGTCCAAGATCTCCCTCAAGCTATTTGCGCAAGATTATGCCAGCAAATAAAGCACAGGTTTTGAACCCCATATACCCTTATGATTTGTCTCTCAATGTCAATTGACAAGACCGAAACACAAAGCGTACCAGAGTCTTCCTATACACAATTTTGATTCAGTCTCTTACTTAGTGGTCTAGCTCGTTAGATCACTTGCTCATGATTTTAATGGTGCACTGCCTAGTTACACTTATTGTTGATCTTAGAGGTGTGCTCAGGTTTGGCTGAACTTGCCAATTGCTAAACAACGCAGCGGCCCTCTAAGGTAGCTCGGATCAAAGCTCTGAGCTCAGATTGAAGCTGCTGAACTGGGGCAGGGAACAATTGACACACTTTCTGAAGAACAATATGCATGCCTTCTGACTGTCTCGACGTTGAGACGGTCAGTGGCAGACGCAGTGGTAATTAAAATCAGATCTCTTGGGTTCTAGAAACCCCTGCTGTGCCTCACAGTGTCCCGTCCGAAGTGTCTAGTGAAGGTTCAAACACGAACCTTACAAGTAGGCCCACCGTGCATCAGTGAGAGTCAAAAGAGCAACTGTCAATAGGTGCATTCTGAATCAAGAAGGCCTGATTGGGCTCGCCACCGCCCGATTCATTCATTAGGTTGACCGTCTTGAGCTTGTTGATGCTTGCCTGCAGACAGGTCTCACCTCGCCTGCAGACCGGTTTTGGACTTGGCAGCGAAGCGGTTTGAAATGGTCATTTGTATGGTCAAGCCTCAGACCGTCTACCACTACGGGAGCGTTTCCGGCCCTCAGACGGTCTGCGTTGCTGGTCTCAAGACCGGCCAAACCCTCCGGTGGTGTAGGAATTTAAATAAACCCAGCAATTACAAATTTGCTTCCGGTTTGTTATTTGTAGGTTTTTAAATAAAGTGAGCTGAATCCTGCTGAATCAGGATGAGCCCCGAGACCCGCCAAATCGGGGATCCCTGCGGTCCTCCCTGGCGGATTGGAGGGTTGGTCTGGCCTCCGAAGGGTCCCAGACCCGCGGGGATAGTCGGTCCCGGGGGTCGTTCTGAGAGGCCAAAAAAAGTGATTTTCCTCAGGGAACCCGAGGAAAAATGCCTTAGGTGTTGGGGTTGAGTTCAAGACAGGTGTGTTGGTCACATTGACAACTTGAGCAATTGTAGAGTGAGCCAAGAGGACAGGAAGCATAATGATATGGAATTGGGTTGAACGAGATCCTTCAACATATTGATTCAAGCAAAACATATTGATTCAGGCAAAACATCTTGATGAGCGGAAGAAAGAATTGATTCACACTAATTGGTGGGGGAAATGTGCAAGGGTGAAGTGATTTATAGCCCTGAAGAGTGGGGGTCCAAGTCGGTGAAAGGTTAATTAAGATGGCTTGAGTTTGTATTTGTGATTTGACGGATATTTCTCTTGAAAGGCTGTGGGCAATAAAAGGGAATGACCAAATAATACAGTTATGGTATACAAATATTGTTCTGGAAATTTCCAGAAGATTTTTCCCAGAATGTCAGAAAGAAAAATTATAATGGTATCTGGCATTCTGGTGTTCTGGAAGTTTGAACCCCCCAGCAGTCCAGAATACCAGAATCCTGAGTACATGACTGTAACACCAAGTGGAACCTTGTTCACAGAAATATAGTTTTCCAGAACACCAGAAGGGTTCTGGCGTTCTGGGAAAAACCTTCTGGAAATCTCCAGAACAATATTTGTATACCATAAGTGAAGACCAGAGGACTTTGACAGGCCGGCCCTGGAAAGCGCGTACAGACCCTCCTAACAAAACACACTTTTTGGGTATTTGCTTGTGCACACAACACTCCACTACTTATGGAGGTGCGCAGTAGCTCATTGTGTGCGGGAAAAGAAGTGCTATCTTATGATACCAGCCTCGAGTATTTTGGAGTGCTGGTTGAGGAGAAAAATGCAAAAAATCTAATTTTTTTGATGATCCTGGGCGGATTCCTACATACCGGGGAAGGGTCTCTACATTGGGTTTTACCCAAAACCACTGCTCCTACTATAGTAAAAGTATATGTACTAGAAATCTACGGTCTTGTTTAACATTTTGCAGTTTTCAAAACTCAGAAAATGATCATGGCTGCATGGGAAAAGCCCAAAACCCGACAAAAACAAAACTTGGGTACCAATTAGGAGGGTGTATTTGGGCTCTCCAGGGTCCGACTCCCACTTTGACACTGGGCTCTTGTTGAAACATATCTATCTCTTCAATAACCTCTGGGCAATGGAAAGCAAAATCAAAGTCAAGTCTTGACTCAGCAAGTTTTCCCAGAAATTGCCGGGGAATCAGGGATCCCCATTAATTCCCCGTAACCTGGTGATTCCCGTTGGGGGTCAGGGTCCGGGAGTTGTTCTGGAGCTCAGAGGATACAAATCCTTGGGGAACGGTGAGGTTGGTTGCCGTTCTGACTTTCAAAAAGAAGTCGGGGAGCCGGGCAGCTCAATCCCCGGCATTTGGAGGTTGGGCTCATCCTGACTGCTGAATCTAATCAGTGTATGTATTAGGAGTTGACTGAACATTACATTTTTGATGAGCTTATTAGCCTACACTTAACAAGAATGTTGAAAGCAAAATCACCAATTTAGTAGAAACAACTGTAAAAGAATCCATAGCTAATCATCTTGCCAAAATCAAAAACATTGAATGTATCAGTAGCAAAAACAACTGATGTTCTTGTATCACCGGATCATCTATGACACCTATTCAAGAAATAGTCAAAAAAATTCAACTTTACCATTACATATTTTGATAACATCAAAGAGACATAAAAAGAATTGTCAACTCAAGTAGTGATGAAGGTACAGTTCTATACAAAAATTTAATTGAGATTAGCAGAGAAGTTGCAGAGGAAGGAGAAGATGATAAATGAGAAAGAATTGATCCAATCGATTTAAGATTAATGGGGAAATGGATTGGTTATATTAATCATTGGAAAGTGGCTAGTAAGGAGCTTGAGCTTGAGAAACTTCAGGTTGAAATAATGGGTTCATGCAATCAATGGGTTCCTTTGAGTCTTTTTTATATCAACAGTATGGAAACTCCTCAAACCAGTTTTTGGGGGTCTCAAATTAAATTCCCTACAACTAAATCTGAAATCCCCCCCGAAAGCACTGAAACTTGTAAAAGAGTTTCAGCCTTTTGGCGGGAGGATACCAGATTTAGCTAGAGCTCGAATCTGACTCACTTTCTAAGGTGTAGTCACGAGGATGGCTTGGGGTTTTCACTTCTGGCTGAACAAGCCCCTTCTATTTATACTTTTTCACTCCCCCTATAACCTGTTTCTGTGGTATCCCCTACCGTTTTTCTTTGTTCCCCTTTGGCGTGTTTATATGTGCTGCTATCTTTTGTTTATTTCCGATCGATCACCAACTGAGCTTTTGCTTTTAAATCCCCGGATTAAGCATCACAAACTATTCAAAGCCATCAATTGTCAGACAAAATCTTTTTACATTGTCTTTGTGTGACAATATACATCTATGTCATGATGTAAACGCAATCTGAAGTGAGTGCATTTGATCTGATCCAATCATTGAATTAGGTATCGTAATTTACTGAATCAAAAACACTCAATATCAGAAGGAATTTTTGTACATTGTTTCTATGATACTCCACTAAGTCATGGTA